TCAAGGGCCCACATTTTCAACTCTTTTTTTTTTTTTTTTTTTAATAAAGAATGTTGTTGTATGTGAAAGCTTTCTATACGGAGTTCCACCTACATAAGAGAGAGCTGGCATCCACGAATCTTATTAATATTTCTATTTCTTGCGGATTCATCTTTCCTCACTAGAAAATGTCCTATTTTGTGTGACGTTTCTTCATTCAATTTTCTTGTGGACCCAATCATTAGAACATATTGATTACCTTTTGTGTACCGTAAGTAAAAGCTGATCTGCACAAGTAATCGTTTTCTCGGCCAATTAAAATGAAATGACAAAAAAACTGTTCAATAGTAAAACTGTGGCCGATCTCGGCTGTGATAGTTTTGGCATCTTATTGGCAATGGCACATTATTTACAATGACATTCCATTGTTTATTTTGACTATTTTTTTTTTTTTTCTTTCGAAAGGAACCAGAAAAGGAAAATAGAAAATGCAAGAGATAAGTTTAGGAAAAAATTTAAGTTTAATCATTATTTTTTCTAACTTTATTATTTATGTCACTATATAAAATTTTAATGGTTTTGGCATAAATAAAATAGTGTCAAATTATTAATGATATTTTTAAAAAGAGAAATAGTAGAGAATATGTCAATATGAAAAGCTTAATAAAGTATATAGGCCAATTTTTAGTTATAGAAATTAATAGGCCATAACTTGTCAAGTTATGGTTCATAATCAGATAAGTTATGGATAAATTTGTCAAGTTATGATTCATAGCCAGACAAATTATGGATAATTATGGATAATAACATGTCAAGTTATGGTTCATAACCAGATAAGTTATAGACAAAAACAGTAATTTAACCTATTTATTAACTTATGTAAACTATTGACCTATTAATTTTAATTCACCTCAAATCTTAACTTATTTTTCTCCTTTCTCTTTTAAAAACCATCAGTAGCTTTAGGAGTAATTATGCTAAATAACACTAAATATATACGTATTAAATAAATGCTTATACACACGTGTCATGGTTCGGTTACGTGGCTTTGTCATACTCTTTTTGTTTTGTTTTGTTTTTGTTTTTGTTTTTTTTTTTCCGATACTCATATACCAACCAAAAGAAGTAGAAAAGGAAAACAGAAAATGCGAGAGAGGACCCAAATAGGTGGGATGACGTGGCGGAGACCGGAGATTGCGCGACATTGCTCAAAGCCTGACAAAGCATGGCCGGCTTCCGTGGCCCGCCTGTTAAACGAGTGTGTGACTAACTCCACGTGGCACGGGCCAGTGTCGTCGTGGCACAAATGCTATCAATCATCATCGTCACGTGCGGTTTGTGATAACCGGATTTATTACCTTACCCAACATCCTAACAAAACCCACCCCCAAGGCCAAAAAAAAAAAAAAAAAAAGAATTTACCTTCAAGTCCACACGTGTCAAGATAATTTACCTTATCTTCTACGCCCTCCGTTTTGGGGTGTTTGAATTTTGAAACGGGGTTTCTTCTGACCACGTGACGACGGTACTCCAGATTTGTTGCTCTTGCTGGATCCACATGAACATTTTTTTGTCAACATTGTTACTATAGATCTTTTGCTATACAATATATAGTTATAATCACGACAATATTTTGTTTTTTTTTTCAACTTTTGTAGCAAGGATTGTATTATAGCAGAAAATATGCATAGTAAGATTTTATATTCTAATCTTATATAACGACTATTAATATTTTTAGACCTTATTACAAAATTCTTCTTTTAATCAACTCTAATTTGAAAAATAACACACGAATGTTAACTTATGGATGTCAAAAATAACTATCTTAAGTGGCATGCATGCAGATTAAAGTTTCGTTCCATTATACTTGAAAATTGTCGGTGGACATCCCTTAAAAAAAATGTCGGTGGATGGCCAGGACGAGCGCTAGTCCATTCAAATTAATGTGTTATTCCATTATTTGACACAAATAACTTTAAAATCTCAATTATATGGGTGAAAAACAAAAACTTTTTAGGCAAACTCAAGAAAGAGCTCATTCAATTCTATGCAGCTCAATAAACGAAATAAATAAACTTAAAGACGTCATTTTTTTTTTTTACTTTTTAAAGATTTCCTTGAAGTTGCAATCTTATTTAATTGAACAATCGTGCTTAGCTTACATTCTAATGAGTTTTTTAAGTTATTGTTAGTTTCTAATTCAATTAGTGATTTTTTTTTCCACCTAAAGGAATAAATTTTTTTTTGCTATGACTAAAGGAATAATTATAAGTGCGGAAAAGTATATTTTTCTTTTCTTTATCTCAGTAATAACCAAACATATTCCTTGATTTATGGACTACGAAGCACATGAATATAGACCATGGAGAGAGGCAGAGAGCACAAAGTGTGACCTTTCTCTTTTACATATAAAATATAAAGACGCACGGTTGTTCTTTTAAAATAAAATTTAGAAAAAATTTAAATTTGAGTTTGAATTTGAGTTTGAATTCGAGTTTTGGATTAAATTTGAGTTCAAGTTTTCTCTTCAACTCGAGTTCATAAACTCGAACTCAAGTTAATAAACATTATCTTTTCTATTTTTAAAAATGTCATAACTTTTTTGTTTTAATTCTGATTGAGATAATTTTTTTTATATGCATTCACAACGAAAAGACGAATAAAACCCCACACATATATTCTATTAAAATTTTTTATCACCATTGAGTTTTTATTAAAATACTATCTAAATACAAATTTAAGTTTTGACTCACCTAAATATAAACTCAAAAAGATTCTCAATTCAAATCATAACTCAAATGTGCTCATCCAAACACAAACTCAAAGTATAACTTTAAGTCAAGTTATAACTTAAACTCAACTCAAAATCATCACTCAAGTCACCCTAACTAAATTCAAAAGAACAACCCGTAGTATTACAGTGGAAATGACTAAAATGCCGAAACAGTTGAATAAACTTTGTCATTATCTGAAATATAATACTACCAGAAATATAATGCCCTTTAATACCTTACCAACTTTTTTGTCATGGACTTGTGTTAATCCTACTATATTGAGTATTTCTTAAATTAGAGCAATTATCCATCAGAATTTTGTCATTATCGCAACAAGTAAAATCAAACAGCAAGAAATAAAATCAGAACCCAGAAATTAAATATTTTTGGTTGAAATTAACTCAGCTGGATCTATTTGTTATGTATACTCTGACTTTAACCAATATGTTGCTCTACTTAAAGTACGTATCCATTAATGTTTATCTATCCAACAAAAACAAGAATTTATTTAGCTTCTTCAACCTTCAATCAATATCCGTAGATCCATCATAATCACCCAAGTAAAATTCATGGCTGTGTAATATCCAAACATAAAAATAAATAAAAAATCTAGGTCGTACTTCCAAAGTCATGTGTAAAAAGCTTCAAATACTTATTAGTAAAGTGGAACTGTTTTTTTTTATTTTTTATTTATTTATTTACTGCGGGAAGACTTGGTCATTCGTGTCCCTCTATTACCCCTTTTTCCTTAGACGGGGACGGCTATGGCGTATGGATGAAAGCAATTTTTCTAAAAAATAAATTAATAATATTAAATAGCAAAAAAAAAAAAGGAAATCATACGAATAACGGGCTCGTTCACTTTACAGATTCGAGTTTTCAATTGAAGTTGAGATGTGACATTTTCTGAGAGCTTTTTACCGTAGTAGAAAAAGTTAAATGTGACATTTTTTGAGATTTTTTTACTGTAAAAATTTAAAACTGAAAACTCGAATCGGTGAGATGAACGAGGCAAAAAAAAACACATACGCGTCCGTAATCGTTAGAATATGATCGTTACCCCTTCCTCTTCTTTGGACACTCTCAACGAAACGTATGCTATTAGTACGTGATTATTTCATGTTGTCTTATTTTATCACGCCATTTTATAAGCGGTCAAAGAGTAAAAAGAAAAAAAGTCAAAAAATCCTTAAATTTGACGTGCTAATTGCTAAAGAGATACGAGAGTATTGATGCTGTTATCAATTCATGAGTTTGTTATTACAAGTTGTTATAAGTCGGTTAAAGCTTATTCATTAGCTTCTAATGTACACTAATTTAATATAAATACAACAGTCTCAGCTCCAATAAGCTTATTTTAGCTGACCATTTACACATTTCTCAGTCTCTCTATCTCTCTCTATAATTTTCTCTAGTTTTCTGTTAAGCTCTTTTCCTCTTTAAAAATAACTGTACCGCTGCGATTTCTTTACCAATTTGTGTTTTTTGTATATATACAAGGAAATTTCCAGGGAAAGGGCTTCCCGCTTAGGTTGCTCTAGTTGTTATTAGATTTTATTATAATTAAAAGGAGTAGGTGAAAAAGAAAATAAATGAGAAAAAGACAAGGGGAAAAATTAAATTAAAAACAGAGAGAAACTGACGTCATTGTCGCAAATCTAATGATATTTTTTTTTTGGTGATTTTTATGGAGTTATTATTAGGAGCTCGTTTAGTTTGTTAATTTAAGTTTTTTATTTGAGTTGTATGTAATTTTATGTGAGAATTTTTTACTGTAATAAAAAAATTAAATGTGATTATTTTTTAAATTTTTTTACTGTAATAAAACTCAAATTTTAAATTTAAATCGATAAAATCAACAATATCTAAATTTATTTATTATTCTTAAAACCTTAAATTAATGTGGGTACTCGATATTTTTGAATTTCTTTCCATATTATCATGGATTTCTTCAAATCTCATTGAGACATGGATTCTGTTGGTAAAACTAAAAAAACCAAAAAATTCTGTTGTTGTTGGTATTGGTAAAAAAAAAAAAAAAAAAAAAAAAAAAAAAAAAAAGATCAATTTTTGAGAAAAAGAAAAAGAAAAAGAAAAAAACTAGTGATATGACGCCAAGAACGTGGTGTCCGTGTATGTTATTGTTAGAAAGTTAATTCTTTTCCCTCTTCTTTCTTTTTTGTTTGTTTATTAAATTCAAACAATAAAAAAAGAAAGAAATAAAAATGTTAGAATCAAAATCAAAGACGTGTTGAGCTGTTATCAATCTCTCTCTCTCTATCATCTCGTTCGGGCTTCTTCTTATTACGTTCTCCAGGGAACCCCTTTTATGCAAGCTGTAATCGAACGAGAGAGCTCATTTGGACTTTAATCATCTCCTCCCACCACAAAGTCGTACCCTCTGTTTTTCTTTCTCTCTCTGACCCCTCTTTCTCTCTCTAAAACAGTCCTCATATAAGTTCTCTCCCAATGTCGCCATGATTTAGAGACGCCTCGCTCCGTTTCCCCCTCCACGCGTCTCCATTTCTCGATCTCTTCCCTCTCTCTCTCTCTATCCACAATGAGATCACAGTTGTAGAAAGAGAAACGAAAGAATAAAAATAAAAACTTTTTTCCATTTCTTCTGGCTTATCCTAACACCCACATTTAAGCGGTTTGATTTAGAAAGTTTTTTTTTTTTTTTTTTTGGTTTTTGGAGATCTCACAAAAATGGCGCCGCCGTCGTTCGATTGGTGGGCGAAGGAGAGCCACCGGGGCACGCCGGTTGTCGTCAAGATGGAGAATCCGAACTGGTCTATGGTCGAGCTGGAGGGCCCAACAGACGAGGACTTCCTAATCGCCGACAACTCTCCGGGCCGGGCCCGCGACAAGGCCCGAGGAAAGAACGCCAAGCAGCTCACTTGGGTCCTCCTCCTCAAGGCCCACCGGGCCGCCGGCTGCCTCACCTCCATTGCCTCCGCCACCTTCGGCCTTGCCTCCGCCGTCCGCCGCCGCATCGCCTCCGGCCGTACCGACACCGAAAACTCTGCCGTCAAAAGAAGCCGCTTCTACGCCTGCCTCAAGGCCTTCCTCTGGCTCTCCGTCGTTCTTCTCTGCTTCGAGGTCGCCGCCTACTTCCAGGGATGGCATTTCGGCGCGTCATCTCTCCAGCTCCGGTACCTCTGGACTACGCCGTTTGCTGTCAGAGGCGCCTTCGATTGGGTCTACGCGACTTGGATGTGGCTCCGCGTGGAGTACCTCGCCCCTCCTCTTCAGTTCCTGGCCAATGCCTGTATCGTCCTCTTCCTTATCCAGAGCCTGGACAGGCTTATCCTCTGCCTGGGCTGTTTCTGGATCCGCCTCAAGAAGATCAAACCCATTCCCAAACAAACCTCGTCTTCGGATCTCGAATCCGGCGAGAATGGCTACTTCCCCATGGTTCTCGTTCAGATCCCCATGTGCAATGAAAAAGAGGTAACAATTCTAACGAAGTTTCTAGCTTTTGTATTCTGTTCCCGTTTAAGCAATGTCGGTTTAATTTTGGGGTTTTTGGGGGGGACAAAATTTAGGTTTACCAGCAATCGATTGCGGCTGTGTGCAATTTGGAGTGGCCAAAATCGAAGCTGCTGATTCAGATTCTGGACGATTCCGATGATCCGACGACGCAGATGTTGATCAAAGAGGAGGTCCACAAATGGCAGCGTGAGAGTGCCCGCATTGTGTACAGGCATAGAGTGATTAGAGATGGTTATAAGGCTGGTAATCTCAAGTCCGCCATGAATTGCAATTATGTCAGAGACTATGAGTTTGTCGCCATCTTTGATGCCGATTTTCAGCCCACGCCTGATTTCCTTATGAGAACCATCCCTCACTTCAAGGTACTTTGTTAAATTGTTTTTATTAACTTTGTACACATTCGTGATCATAAAATTTTAAATTTGTGTATGTTAGTTTTAGTGAGGCTTAAACATAAAGGGCACTTGCTAATTTTTTTTTTTTACAGGATAATAATGAATTGGCTTTGGTTCAAGCGAGATGGTCTTTTGTGAATAAGGATGAGAATCTACTAACAAGGTTGCAGAACATTAACTTGGCATTTCACTTTGAGGTTGAGCAGCAAGTGAATGGCGTTTTTCTCAACTTCTTTGGGTTCAATGGCACTGCTGGTGTGTGGAGAATTAAGGCCTTGGAGGACTGTGGTGGGTGGTTGGAGAGGACCACCGTCGAGGACATGGACATTGCTGTGCGAGCTCACCTTCATGGATGGAAATTCATTTTCCTCAATGATGTTGAGGTATTCATTCGTCTGCCTTGTATTTTAACTTTTAGAGGCGTAAAAGCTATGTTCCTTTTGTGTTCTGTTTTCCTTGTTTTATGGGCATAAAAAACTCACTTCTTGTATCCATTAATGCAGTGCCAGTGTGAATTACCGGAATCTTATGAGGCATATAGGAAACAACAGCACAGATGGCACTCCGGACCCATGCAATTGTTCCGCCTTTGTTTGCCTGCTATTATCAAATCCAAGGTATATACCAAATATACTCTTCTGTGACACTTGTCTAGAAGTTGAATTTTGAGGAGTTTAGTTTACTTACATAACATATTCATCTTTAGATTATTAGTTTGTTCTAATAAATGCCAAATTCCATTATTGTTTTGTTACAGATAAGCTTTTGGAAGAAATTCAATTTGATATTCCTCTTCTTCCTTCTGAGAAAACTGATATTGCCGTTTTACTCCTTCACACTATTCTGCATTATTCTCCCAATGACAATGTTCATCCCAGAGGCTGAGCTCCCAGCATGGGTTGTGTGCTACATCCCGGCGACAATGTCGTTTCTCAATATCCTCCCAGCTCCAAAATCATTTCCCTTCATAGTCCCATACCTTCTCTTTGAGAACACCATGTCAGTGACCAAGTTCAACGCCATGATCTCGGGGCTATTCCAGCTCGGAAGTGCTTATGAGTGGGTTGTGACCAAGAAATCCGGCCGCTCATCCGAGGGTGATCTTGTCTCCCTGGTTGAGAAAGAGGGAAAACACCAAAGAGGGGTCTCAGTTCCCAATCTTCAGGAAATGAAAGAGGAGATTACACAACAAGAGAAGAAAGCCTCTAAGAAGAAGAAGCACAATAGAATATACACAAAGGAATTGGCACTAGCTTTCCTTCTACTAACAGCGTCAGCAAGAAGTCTCCTTTCAGCTCAGGGTATCCATTTCTACTTCTTGCTGTTTCAAGGGATATCTTTCTTGCTTGTTGGGCTTGACTTGATTGGCGAGCAGGTTCAGTGAATAATATAACATGAATAGGATTCTCTTAAAGCAGAAAATAGATGGTTGAAATGGATATGAAACCAATGGGGTTTTGTCCAAGTGCTAAAGACTCAAATGTTTTATTGACACGAAACGGCCAAATGGGGTGACGCTTTCCTTCTTGCTTAGACTCAACCCTCAGGCACGCCAATCCGTTAAGTTAAAACCCAAGATTGGGAAAGGGGCAATAAGCAGATAAGGACGTCATTTATTAAGGGGGAAATGGTGATTCCTCTTCACTGTTTCTTATTAGGCTTCTACTTTTTCTCTTTCTTTTTCCCCTTGTTTTTTTTTTTCCTTTATTTTGATTCTTTTGTTTTTGGATAAATTCTTTTGTAAGAAAAATTGTCGTTCAAACAGAGCAGGAAAATTTTAGCTACGGTTCCTTTTTCTAGTGTAGATAGCAACACTATGTATCTCTCTTGATGGTTTTTTTACTTAAAAAGTGTTAAAATTTTCTTCAAATGCCTGGAAAGTGGGCGTTTGTTCCCCGTGGCATGATTTAAAATTTTCTCTTTACATTTATGTGGAAAATGAAATGAAGCAAGTTGTATATTTTGTCGGTGTTTTCAAAATGAGATATGACAGTTGTCGTTATACTTTAATGGTCATGTTTTACAGGTGGCCGGGACTCGGTTTCGCCTTTTAATTTGGGGCATTAAAAAAGAATAGACGAGGGAAAGCGAGAACTGTGCGTTTTTGTTTTTGTCTAAAGGACTTCCGGATAATTACACTTTTTACTGTAGAAATCAACATTTTTGACAAACTAATTTCAACCAGGTGTCGGTCGTAAGACCAGTTAATTTTATTCTATTTTTTAGCCGGTGCCATCGCTTTGTTACTTGGTTGAAAAAGAAAAAAAAAAAGGAAAAAAACATTATCCGCCAACAGGCAATTAAAAAGAAGTGGGCCACAGATTATTCACAAAAATCTCATTCTACGTCATCAAAGTCATTGGAAAGCACGAGATAGCAGCTATTTCTGTTCTCTGTTCTAAAACCAAACAGTTTCTTTGAATGGCGATAGTCACAGCGGTTTCATAACTATGACTCCGTGAATGTGATGTGGGTTCTTTGTTGTTGAATATCACAGACGGCACATGACTGTCGTTGGAGATCCACGAAGAAATCTCCCTGTTTTCTTCTTTTTTTTTTTTTTTCTCTTTGCTTTGAAAATCAAAAGAATAAAAAAAAAAATGTTTTGGGTGCTAATAATTGGAAGGTGGTGGTCCCCAATAAGACTTGGTTATGACTTATGGAGTTTGGACCACATTATGATGACAGTTGATTCCTTTGCTGATATTTGTTCGTGGAGACAAAACATATATTCCTCGGTGGTTCTAGTCAAACAAATTCCAGGTAAAATTGAATTTAACAACTTTTTTCTCATAAAATTTACACTTATAAAAAAAAAAGAGTTTCTCTGTAGAAATTTACGTATGTTTTTTCATTAACGTGATTTTAATTAAATTTAACTATCAGAGTTGACCCTAATAATAGGTTGACCCATTAAAAAAGTCCATTTTTTCAAACAATGTTAAAATGTAACATAATGTGGTCCGATGATTTTATATGATATTTTAATTGATAGGATATAATGTTATTATGGAAAAAAAAAAAAAAAAAAAAGAGTTCTATGTAATTGAAGAAATCACTGTTGACAGCAAATTTTATTTGTGTTCTCAAAAGAAAAAAGAAAGAGAAAGTTACACACAACTATAATCGCATTGAAAACAAGTGCTTGTCTGATTATGTTACTGTACTTTTAAAAAAAAAAATTGAATAAAACAAGAACTTCTCTTATAAATTTTGAATTTAAAATCAAAATCAGCGTCAACTAAACTCACCAGTATAGTTATATGTAGAATGAAGAAAAGTGTCCTTTTTCGTTAGGCGTGACATTTAGTCTTAGCAAATATAATCTGGGCCGTAATTTCTCATGGTTATCTGGACTTTGTAGGCCATGGATGTGCAGGGCCTTTTATGGGCCTCGTAGAATTTGACCCGAAAGACCGTCCGTAACCCAAGGCAAGATTTTGTAAAAATAACTTAATAGGAAAGTTTTATTAATAAAATAACTTTTTATACCAACTTTTTATAAAGAAGAATGACCGAGTAGTTATTCATAAAAATGAAAAAGAAACAAAACTATAGCTGTAATTAGTAACCGCAAGGAAGAAAAGAAACTAACATTCGTGAGCACATAATTATCAACAAAAAAAAAGTCTGAGCACATTAACAAAAAATTGGGCAGGGCTAATATACACGTTCATGAAACTCGTCAGCAGTAATTTCATAATGTCGCATACATAATATGTATTCCATATTAAAAATATTAATATATGTTATTTTTTTAGTACTTCGTTTCTGAAACGACTTCTCTTACATTTCGTTAATGGACGAAATAGCATGATAATAATAACCAAAACAAAAAAAAAAAAAACAAGAAAAAAAAAAGGAATCCAGCACTCAAAATGAAAAAACTGAATTACGTGTGACAACTAGGAATGTTCAAAGTGTTGCAACAAGATTTTGCCAAAAGATAAAAGGAGTTGTTTTTTTTTTTTAACAAAACTTAGAAAAAATTTAAACTTGAATTCAAATTCATATTTTTTTTAAAAATTAAGCCCTGTTCATTTCGCCGATTTGAGTTTAAAATTCAAATTTTACTACAGTAAAAAACTCTAAAAAATAATCACATATAATTTTTTTACTACAATAAAAAGCTAACATAAAATCACATCTCAACTCGAATTAACGAACTGAACGGGCCAAATTTAAATTTGAGTTTAAAACTAAACTCGAGTTCAAAAATTCCCTTCAACTTAAATTCATAAACTTAATAAACAATATTTTTTCTATTTTTAAAAACGTCATAATTGTTTTAATTTTAATTGAGATAAAATTTTTTTATATATTCACAACGAAAAGACAAATAAAACTCCACTTATATACTCTATTAAAATATTTCATCACCATTAATTTTTATTAAAATATTATCTAAATACAAATTTAAATTTTAACCCACCTAAACACAAACTGAAAAAAATTCTCAATTCAAATCACAACTCAAATGTACACATTTAAACATAAACTCAAATTACAAATTCAACTCAAATTATAATTTAAACTCAATTTAAAACATCACTTTAACTCAAAAATGTAAAAAAAAACAACCGTCGAAAACGCCAAAAGGGCGGGCTAGAAGCAGCTTCAGAGTAAAGCTCTAACATTTAAGAAATCCAAAGCAGTTAAAAGAAAAAGAAAAAAGAAAAAGGCACACAAACCCATGTAACAATTTATTGCACACTTGTGCACAAATCAAAGCAAACTATTTTTAGTCCATCTATTTTTTTCCTTTGAATTGATGAACTACAAAATCATTTTCCATCATCACAGCTTCTTCAAAGAAAAAAAAAACCTCTCAAAGCTTCATACATGGGAGACAAATCTACAACACCGATTATAAAACAAAACAAATCATTTTTCACCAACCAAAGTCTTCACTTTGTTGTCTGAAAATATACATGATTCTTGACTCTCAAAATGGTGTCATCTTCTTCTGCTAAAAATTCGAAGAACAGTTAGGAACTTAGAATCTGCGAGCCTATACAACCGATTTTTTTCCCTTTTTTTTTTTTTTTTTTTTTTTTTTTTTTTTTTTTTTTTTTTGGTTTCCCCATGATTTGAGTCAAATCAGTCACCTGGAAAATTTATCATCTCAGCAACTATAGCTCTGGTTTCAAGCGCCCTGGTGAACATGATATTTAGTACAAAAATACTTAGAAGAAAGTACTTAAAAAAAAAAAAAAAAGAAAGAAACTCTGCAGTTGATATGAAACAGATTTTAGTTACCATTTGGTCCCAAATTTTCAAGGGCCGTACTAGAATCATATCCCATGTGAAAAAGACCTTGGAGCTCATTATCTAGTACAGTCTGCACTAAATATTTTACAAATGTTATTGAAAGTAATGGGGTTATATAGTATAGCAGAACATGAAGACAGGCTTAACTACTTGCCTGAGGCAAAGAAGCAAATTGTGGAGCTGTGTTCGGTATACTTGGCATGGTTCCCTGAAAGATTCCAGGTGGGTAATGTTGAGAGGAGCCGATTCCGGGGCCGAGCCCGAAAAGAGCTCCATTGCCACCTCGCGAGTTAAGAATCTATACACAGGAAAAAATAAATGACACAAAGTTTAAGATACAATGAACCGCAAGTGTTGCAACTTCAAATGGCTAAATTAGCAAAGTTATGCTCGAATGACCTGACTTACATCTTTGGATAGAAGCCGTTCTATGTCAATGTTGAGTTCTGGGTTCACAGTTGCTAGTTTCATTGACAAGAACTGCAACAAGAAAGAAAAGGGACCACTAAGAACAATAGTAACTTGACAAGCTATTCATCCTCGCAATGTTTCTTATGTTCCACATATGGAGATGGCACTATTTTCATTTTCTTTTGTTCTGGAAGTTAGCTCTTTTTGTTCAAATTTTAAGCCAGTGATTCAGGCAAATTTAAGAATAATAAAAAAAAAATAGTCAAGATACAGAAAAAGATCATAATCGCAGGCAAAAAATTATAATAATCTTTTCCGGTTTTCATTTTGTTTTTTTATGTTTTATTTTTCCTATGATGAGACCCACTTCTGATTCTGAACGGTAACAAATTTGAACTGAATTCAGACGACTTAGTAACATACCTCAACCTGCTGTTGCAAAGACTGAACATAGTTGATAATCTCATCAAGCATTACTGCCTTCCCCGTGATCTAGAATGGTTAAAAATGGCAACAAAATTCTTCAGTATTTTCACATCAGCATCACAACAGACTACTCAGAAAGAAGCTTGTCTGAATCTAATTACCTTGTTGCATCCTGGAACAAGTTCTTGAAGCAATCTCATCCTCTCACTGATCTTTTCTCTTCTCACCTGCAAACAAAATCAGCTATTTCTTCATTACACATGTTACAAAACAAATATATTTTACACATTATCTATTGTAGGAGAAGATATACCCTTTCTGCAAGGCTATGACTATTTGTTGCCTGACCCCTCCGGGCTCTCACATGAATGTAATTTTCCTTGGGAGTTTCTCCACTGTCGGCACTGTCCTTGGCTTGTTTTCCGGTTTGCTTGTTTCGCGCATTTCCGCTCGAATTCTCTTCAATTTTGGGCTTCTTCTCATCTTGTTCTTTCCGAACATCAGAAATGGAACTGTCCTTCTGTTGTACTTGTTCCCCTTCAGCATTCTACCAAAGTCATGACAAAGCAATTCAATCACTTGGATACCACAACAAGAAAAGCAAATTCAATTACCAACATCACAATTTATATCATATTAGTGTGGCTAATTTTACCTTATCTGGACTGAGGGGAGAATTGAAATCAGGAACTCGTTTTCTTCTTTTCTCATTAGGTGAAGATCCAATGCCGCCATCTGAAATTTGGCAACCATCCTGAGATTGTCCACCAACTGTTGAAGTCGTCTCACTGTTTGGGGGGTAATTCGGAGGACACCCAGTACTCGCAATCCCGGCACACTGAGGCAAGCCAAAAGAGCCAACCATATCTGAGAAGCTCCCACTTCCAAAGCACGAAAGCTTGGGAACCATCTCTGCGAAACTCGAATCGGAAGGGTATTGAACAAGGTGGGAGGTGCTACTCATTCCCTGGCTTTCCAACACAACCGGGTTATTATAAGGAGGATTGCAAAATTCACCCTGAGTAACCATGGAAGAACCTCCAAAATTCTCAGTCTGACTCAATGAAACAAGTGGATCCCAACCAGAAGCAAAGAAAGGGTCTGAACCAGTGGGAGGCTTAAACATGGACAATGAGCTCATAGTCACTCCTGAAGCCTTTTCAGGCATGGTGTTTGTGGCCATCCTTGAAGATGGACAATTAAGAAAACCCTCACTTCTACTCTGTTGAAACCCCACGTTCTCATTTTCCTGACCACTCATTTCTGGAGCTACAAAAGTTGAAAACCAAACCCCCAAGAACTAGGAAATCCCACTTGTATTTTTGTTGGAATGGAACCCCAAGTAAACAGATATACAACAAGGGTTAGAAACTAGTAAGAGAACTATTATATGAAACGAAAGGCAAAGTGAGTTTTGACTAAAGTTGAGGGGGTGATATCTTACAAGAATCAACAAGGAACAAGTAACCTTGGCAGCTTTTTATACGACTGATGGGGTGTTAAAGTAAAAGAAGCCTCTCATTGCAGCATCCCAATGGACTCAAAGAAAGTGAAAGGATAAAATCCTGTGAATATATATCAGGCATAAAATCTGCAGAACCAGCTACTTAACTTCTTTTTTTTTTTTCCTTCAGAAACCCTAGGATCAAGCTTAAACTCCACTATTACACAGAAGGAAAAAGAGAAAAATGCTCTCCCAGAGACAAGAAAGTGAACCTTTCAGAGCATAAAGTAAGACGTGGACAAACGATGACATTAGCTAAGTAACAGCTCACCAGACTAGCAAAAAGAAAGCAGATTCCCTTTTCCCCTTTTGTTTAGAGAGAGACTAAATTTTCATACCTTCTTCTGTTCAATCATTAAAACAACACACCAATGTGATTGATGTGAACCGCTTGAATCTCTTCAAGCGTGATAAAATTGAATAATATCTCTAACAAGCTTCAACCAGGAAAATAACTAGTTGGTATTGTTCATAAGACCCCGGGAAAAATAAAAAATAAAAAAGTAGAAGAAACCCTTTTGAAAATTCTCAAATGGGTACCGGAAAAAGACCAAAAGGCATCAAATTTCTAACTTGAATTGTACAAATAAGTGAAATGGGCAGTGGTCTTAGAGCAGTCCAGGTAATTGGGCTTTCGAGTGTACCTTCAAGAAGCATAAAAAATGACTTGCTATAATTCGACAAGAAATAAAAAAAAAATACAAGTTTTCACCAATTGGGTACTTGCAAAAACAGCAAAGGAAGCATCAAGTTCCTACTTTAATAGATCACAGACCATCATACATAATTAACACAAGCCTAGAGAGAGAGAGAAACAAAGAGAGGGAGAGGGAGAGAGAGAGAGCACAAAAGAGTGAAACTTTGCTTACCTGCTCAAGTTAACAGGTGACATGTATGATTTTAAAAGACAGACTAACCACTGCCAACTGCCCTTGTTTGGAAAATTATTACCAGAACCTAATCTCTTTTCTCCTTCCACTCTAGACTGTTGCAACTTCATTAACTTTTTCCAATTTTTTGACTTTAAAATAATCTCTCTCTCCCTTCTTTTTTTTTTTTTTTTTTTTTTAACAAGATTAAAGAATAGGAGTAATTTGCAGAAGAGGTTCTTCTCTTGAAGACCAAGCTTGCTCTTTGCTTGCTTCTTTGACATACTTTATTATCACACATATATTTTTTCTTTTAAAATTTTTACTGACACATTTGCCAACTATTCTAATCTAACAGACCTCTCTTTGCTGTTACACACTCATTTTTCTCAGTGCCAACTAAACCCTCTTTCATTTCTTTTGAGAAACACTCATTATGCTCCTAACCTCCATCACCCTCCATGCACATCATTGTCCATCAAACAACTAAAATGGGCCCATTTACTCCGTGGGCCCGTATATCCTGATCTCTTCCGAGATGATGAGTCCTCAATGTGGGCCAATGCCAAGTGGATGGCTTTGATTAAGACAAGTCATACAATTACATTTGAGTGCATAGCAGAGTAAATTTGCCCCTACCTCTTTTTAACAAGTTTTATATCAGTTATTAGTACTAGATGAAATCTTTTCCTTTTTATACTTTGGAGGCTTTGGGTCTGAGGAACATAAGGAATAATAGAATCTAATCATCAATTTACCTCCTTGTCCTGGTACGGGTTTCCAGCTGTAGACCCTGAAGCAGTTTTTTTTTTTTTTTCATATAAAAAACTTAAAATAAAAAATAAAATAAATTTACTGATATGTCTAACTTAACTTACGTAAGGTAAGGTAAGTTAAATTTTTTAATCCTTAAATTTACATATTCTTTATTTTTATGTTATTTTATACAGATTTAACAAATAAAATATTTAATCTGTCAATATCTTAAAAAATAAAAATAAAAATAAAAAATGGTCAAACAAAAATTATCTGGTCAAGCATCATCCTAAGCCCGGTTGTGATCTTGGTGGAACAAATGGAAAATTGCTCCGGAAATAACGGCTAATTTTGTTCAAGGTTCATGATCCGGTGAGAGACACTTCACTGTAGAAATGAGTCATCGGATATTCTTTTAATCTTTCAACGAATTAGAAATATGTGGCAATGATAATGATAGGATTAAGTGATTTATATTGGGTCTAATGTGTGAAAAAGGGGACCCATTGAAGTACCGGGCAACAATTAAATTATTGTAGATACGACGATTGAGATGGTACACCAAACTTATCAATGTGGGTACTCACAGCAAATCATTCTTCTCGGTACGTTTCGAGGTGGGGGCTAGATGGAGTCTGGATAGAACCTTATAATAGACTGAAGAATGATTTTGCATTTCTTTTCTGGGATTATAAAGAGGGCTAACTTTTGACTCTTAAATCTAATTAAAATTAAATTTAAAAAGTATAGAGGATAAACAGTTTTTAATGTAAATTTAATAGTTGAAAACATATGATAATTTGTGTGCGAGTGTGTTTTTTTTTTTATATATATATAAATAGTATGAAAGTAATCAATTATGCACCAAATATTTGTTTTGAAAAAACTTGAGAATGAAATGACTGATCCATAATTCTAAAAAAGAACAATCAAAATTGAAAGGATTGGTGGGGACGAGCAAAGCTGAATTGTCCATGTAATTAAAAATAAATAATATCTAACTAGAATTCAACAATTAAGCTCTAAGTCCTTTTAAAAAAAAAAGTTATCTTACCATGTTTGTTATGAAATATATTTTTTCATGCAAATTGGGAATTATCTACGTCTTACCGTTGAGAAATTAGTCTATTAGGAATGTGGTAACGCAACGTTGCTTTGATAATAAAAGAAAATCTAAAAAAACAATAATACATTTGGCAAAAGAAAATCTAAAAAAACAATAATACATTTAGCAGAATTTGGGAATTTTTCTAATAATACGTATATGATCTGTCTCTTTCATTAAATTAAAAAGAATGTATATTATTGTCTCTGTGGTATTTGTCCATATTAGCAGAAGAAAATAATAGATATATAATAGTTTTTTAATGGTTTAAAACATTTAAGTTCTCTTTACAAATCAAAGTCTCGTTTTAATTTATTCTAGGGATTCCATCAATTTCTGAATAAAGATCTGTTGTCCCATTTTTTTTTTCTTGGTGGTTGTCCCATCAATTAAAATTTGACACCTTGTGATTTGTTTAAGTATTTTTAGTATTTTGTTTCTATTTATGTAGTCAAATTCTTAATTTAGTATTTTGTTTCTATTTATGTGGTCAAATTTCAAAATTTAGATGACATTATAATAATTAATGAAGAGACAGTCACCAAAATAAGAAAATGAGGACAGTAGATTTGGACTCTTGATTTCCTGCTAAAAAATAAATAGATATAATTCCAAACCTTCATGGAGAGAAATTTATTTTTCGGACAGAAAACAAAGTTAATAATTCAAACTAGATCATGATTCATTGGCCTAAATATTCAATAGAAAGGTACGATAATTGACTCATTGACTCACACCAACCGGACTAATAAAAGAGGCAAGATAAACGCATTAGAATGCAAGCAAGCCAACCATGTGTTGCTTTTCTTTCAGGATAAAAATTAAGAATGATATATATATATATATATATATATATTGTATATGCAATCTGCATGTGTTAAAACATAAGTGAACTGTACCAAAGATTGTTTATGAAGAACCAACATTATTAAGCTAAAACAAAGCCCATCAAAAAGAAAGCCCACGATCACGCGTGAGGCACGTATTGAGCCTGAGGTGGGCCCAGTCCATCTAGTCCTGAAAATGTGGTCCTACCCTGATTAGCAATGATGGGGAGGATACCTCAAGAGACAAATCTTTACCTCCCCGAAAAACTCATTAATCTTTAAAAAAAAAAAAAAAAAAAAAAAAAAAAAAAAAAAGAAAAGAAAGAGAAGGGCTCATCAATCTCTTTTTTTTCTTCTCTATGCATAAAATTAAAAAAGAAAAGGAAAACAGATTTTTATGGTAAGTTATGAATGTACAATGCAGTTTTAAACTGCACACTAAAATTATATTAGATTAAAAAAATAAATTTAATGACATTTTAATAAACATAACGATATAAACGTGACGATTCAGAACCCATAAATTTTTTCAATTTATTAGAATTTAGTGACTTCTTTTTTTTTTTTCCTTTTAAATAAGCAATAATATTTATGTAAAAATAGTTCACTACTTTGCTTTAGAAAGCTCACAGTCGTCCCATGCTTGTTTGATGTTCATTGCACACCCTCCACAATCTTTTAGGCCAAGAAAACAAGATTTATACTTTTAAAGAAGCTTTTTCCTTGCTCTTCTTTTCAAAAAGTTGCCAGTTTCCCTTTTTTCTTTGCCCACCCAATTATATATAAAAGAAACTCTTTTTCCACTTCCAGTCAATGAGAACCTAAAAACAGCTGATTCCTTGTATTAATTATATTAATGGCTGGTTTGGAATCTGAAAGCCAGTACATACAGTTCAATTTAGTACATTAAACGAAAAGCTTTTCATGATTGGTGAAATTCCAGTCCATAATGGGGGCTAACTAATAATAAGTCTAACTAGAGAAATTAAACTAATTACAAGATACAAGGAATTCTTGAAAGCCCATTATTAATTATCCTCCAAATTAGGGGAAAAATAAAAATAAAAAGGAAAGAACTAAAAGAGCAAAGCATGCGCAAGGAAGAGTAGTAATCATCATTCAGTTCTTCTTTAACATCTAAAGCAAAACACAAAAGGCTGCTGTTAATTAGGAAGCCGAAGAAGGCCAATGATGCTCGCTTTGCTGCTTGATGCAAACTCATCGAACCCATGACGGCTCAGTGCAAAAACAATAATTAATATTTCTAAGACATTGACATTTCCACAAAAAGAAGTTTCCCCACTGCCCAATTATTCATGAACTTGGTCGTTTTTATATAATATGTGGTAGTATATATGTGCATAATAATATTAATAATGTCAAATAACTAAAATGAAAGCCTAAAATTGAAATACATAATTTATTTTCTTTTCTTTCTTTTTAATTGTTAACAAACAAACTAGATCACACACGACCAACAAGACTTAGAGGTTGTTTGGTTGAGAAATTCGTCATCTGATTCGAATTATGGTTCGTGGTTTGCTACAGTATTTTCACTCATAAAAAATACACGTAAATAAAAAATAATTCTAATTACATGATTCTAATTCATGAACCAAACGTCTCCTTAGAGAAGCCTCACACCGAAAAAACCCTACTTTTCGATTGATTGATGGAGTACAAGGACTTAATTTATGACTCAAAACATTTTTTTATCCTTCAAGTCTAAAATAAACTCGCAAGAAGAGAAATTATAGGCAGACAAACGAGTATCCTCACTAATACTTCAGATTTTTCACGCACTAATATTCCGCATCATGGGTTAATTTCATACTAACTATAAACGGATAGAAAAAAAATATAACATGTATAATCTGTTTAATTTGTCATTGGACGTTATAAATTTAGAATTATGATTAATGATTTTAATTTTTAAAGTTTAAATTTTTAATAAGAAAAAAACACTATAAAAAATTAAAAATTATAATTCAAAACACTCATTTCGCGGATTCGAGTTTTCAATTTGAGCTGAGATGTGATATTTTTTTAAAGTTTTTTACTGTAGTAAAAAAAGTTAGATATGATATTTTTTAAGAATTTTTTACTATAAAAATTTAAAATTAAAAACTCGAATCGGTAAAATAAATGAGACTTTAAAATAAACATCTCATTATAGTAAGGGCTGCTTTCGAAACTAGGAGCCAACATATCAAACTTTGTGCGGTGAACCAAATGATAATCACTTTGTACTCGCGTGTGTACTTAACATAATGGCTAAGTTCTAAATCCAACGATCTTAAAAATAAAAATAAAAAATGGAAGAAGAAGAAGAAAGAAACCGAGCAGCACAGAGGTAAGTACTTCTCCATCTGTAGGTCAGAATAAGAGACCTAGACGAGATAATATTTTTCATCTTTTCATGACTGTGAAGGACGAAAAGAAAATGATTCATATTACGTATACGCATATAAAAAGATTGCAGCTTTTTACTAATGGTACGTAGAAACTCGATTGCCTCGGCCTCCTGAGACAAACCTAGCTAGCTCCCTTAAACAACTAGCTTGTTCCGTTTCTT